AACTGTTAACGAAAGGCCGTTTGAAGCTCAGCTTTTCAGCGATTACTTTTGGACGTGCTGGCCGATATTGGTGAACTTTTCGACACGAGCCATTGCGCGAGCCGTGTCCATAATGTCGACGTCTGCTGCTTTACGGGCCTATTTATTCCAAGGACACTTCTCATTGACCCAGCCGCTGAGGTAAAATCAATTCAGTCGCCATATATTGACAGGTCAATGTAACGGACAAGTCAATGTGCACTCAAAACTTTTTTACTACCTCCTGGAGGGTTCATTTTCATCAAACCAGCAAGATAAGAGTATATTGAAAGGGTAACTCTTTGCTACCATTATGTGCATGGTAACGGTACGTGGTTAATATGAACTTATTCGCCAGCGAAGAGTATTATTACCATGCAAATATCAATATTACTCTCGCGATCCAGAACATCACGAAAACTCTTTCCTTCTGGGTATCGTGACTCGTGTACAGATAGTCGTTTCATGCGTGGATCTTGTTTACCCTCGTGAAGATGATATTTGAAATGGAATCACTCAGCCAATCAGAAACGAGATCGGCCGTTTGCGGTTTGATGGCCGCGCGCATCTGTCAGTTTTCGGCCGTTGGTCTCCGAGAGCGGATGTGAGCAGTGTCGGTGCCGCGCGGCGTGGCCGTTGGTGATTGTGCTCGCGTGTTGTTCATCGCCTATAGAGCCTCTGTGGACATTTTACTGTAAGTACCGATGTGCTAGAGCATTGCATGCCGTTGAGTGGTGCTAATTTGACCTGGTTAACAGGACCCCGTGCACGGCCACGTGGCCTAGGTTGTGAGTACGTACATTAATTTTGTTGTGATGCTACCAGTTTATGCATTTTGTTGGTGACTTTGAAAAAGCCTTGCACTGTAGTGATCCAGTCTCATTATCTCACGCAGACGGGCTACCACCCAGGAACGCCGTCGCTCTCTTCAAATATTGTGTGCTGTGCCTTATCCAATATGAGGGCGCTGAATGTCTTGTATTCACATTCAAAGTGCATTCCAGTTGTATCGTGGTGTTTATTTACCGCTTGTGCATTGCTGAACGCTTCGTATAAATTCGTATGCATAAGTGAAGAGTCTCACAATGTTCATGGCTGGTGTGCCCCTCGTATTGTTTGTACGGAAGCCAAATATACATTGTTGCTCTTGAAGCATGTTTTTTTAGTTGGTGAGCTCCGGTTAACAGAAGCTTCGTGAAGCTTCTGAAGCAAGCGTCTGTGAGTCTCTTACCATCCTCTGGGGGGTTTACACTAAAGGAAAGAGTAAACATTACCATGTGAAAAAGGGTAGGCCAGAAGAAAATGCTCTCTGTAGGAGGGTAAAGCACAGAGTAGATGATGCGTTACTCCCTAGAAAAGGGTTCCGTTTAAGATTTACCCTTTCAAAGAGTGTAACCCAAAAAATGTTACACTCTAGACAAGAGTAAATCAAAAGAGTTTACCATTCAGAAGATGGTAAAAAACGTCTGTGTGTCATGTTACCCCTCCCTGGCGAGTTTACTCTTCATGAAAGAGTAAAATTTACCATCTGGAAGGTGGTAAAAAACGTCTGTGTGTCAAGCTACCATGCTATGGCGGATTTACCCTTCAGGAAATGGTAAAAAAGTTTTCAGTGTGACGGGCGCTGAACAGCAGTCTTCTCGTCTTGCAGGTCAATCATCAATCTATGGAACGGCGAGCAGAACGAATTCAAAAGGTCATGGTTCAGTAAACACGTCATCATTCAGCAAAAACAACGTATCTAAAATACCTGCCGAGAGAAAAATCCAACATACTGGACCCTGTAACACACAAAACGACACACTGACAGGATGGCACGTCCGGCGGGTGACGGCACCGCAGTGACAGGCCTCACAGCGGGAAATCAGCGCTTCCGTCGTTGCACAAACAGCCTGACCCCACCGCTGGAGTCGCCGGTCAGGTCGCCGGTCTGTGGTCGTCGGACACCGATCACCCCGTCGGCTGCGGACCGACAGCCGGCACGCCCACTCGGCGTCCAGCTCACGCACCTCGGCCGCATTATTGGCCGGCCCGGTGATCAAATCAGGACCAATCACTGAGGCGGCGACGCCAAGCAGGCTGACCAAAGGCGAGAAGGTGAGAGGAGAGACGGCAGACCGCGGCCAGCGCTGAGAACTCGGAGAGCGTGTCTCGCGATTGATGGATCAGTAACGAGCTGAAGCATTCCTAATCGCAGGCAGAGTTTTTATGGAATTCGCGAACGCTTTCTTCAAGGGGTAACGATTCAGTAATCATATGAAAAACAACCACGCGAGGGCGTTCGAATAAATCAGCTGGCGTAAATTAAGGCCACGCTTACCGGCCGTGAAAAACAGAATTCATCAATAACGCCCAAGAAAAACGGACTTCAAAAGTAAAGCGGCGCCACAGAAAAACGTGCGCCAATATCTGGGTGGCATAAGTCACCGGCCTCTCCCTGTAAACGACTGCCGGCCGTTGGCGGAACTGGCCGAGTCCATGGCCGCGACTGCTCGCTGCTGTATCGATAAACCCGGCCCGCCACGCCATCCCCCGAGCTCCCGCAGTCGGTCGCTTGGACCGACGCGACGGTCGGGCGGCCGGCCGATCGGCGCTCGGCGCTCAGCAGATACGATGACGGATGATGACGGCGCCGGTCCGACTGCTCTCACCCATCGCCCTAAAATGGTGACAAATCACCGATGATGCCACCAGCTGTCGCCACTAGGAGGCCGGCCGAGCGGGCAGCCGTCGTAGCAATCGACGCACGCCGACCGCGAAAAGCTATATCCTCCGCCTGGCGAAGCACCCCGCCGTCACGCAGATTGAAGCCGGAGCAGGCGGGGTGTCTCTCCAGCCCGGGAGCATCTCGCGGAGCGCTCCGTATCTGATCTGGCCGAGCAGCTGGCGGGTGTGGTGGGTATCCGCCGCCAGCGTGTAGTTTGTGTCCCGCTGACGGCAGCCGCGGACCCCTGCAGACCGCTGACGGACGGCGCCCGGTCGGCCCGCGTTCCTTCGAGCCCTCTACGGCGCCGGGTTTTGTGCCGCCCGGCGGTGTTAACAAGACCAGTACGGCGCCACGGCGGCCGACGAAACGGCCAGGTGTGGGGCCGGCTGGTGCGAGCCCCACGTCGACGGCCCGCGCCGCGTGTCGGGCGACATATACACACTTTTTGCCGGCAGTTAAACAAGCAGACGCTGGCCGCACACAAACCTCGCCGCGCGCCAATATTGATCCCCAGACACCGCGGTGCAAGAGCGCGGCACAAGGCACTACAAGCTGGGGCATATTGAGCTGTCCAGGGAACACGCCTCCAGACCACAATGCCCGGCAAAACATCCGAGCTATGTTGACTGGAGCCGCTGTGTACATACATACATACAATGCGACAAAGCACGGGCGTGGCGCCATCGGAAGGGCCCAGACACCGCAGCCCCCTACGGACATCAGTCGGGCACCAGGCGTCAGACAGCCACCTTCCTTGATACAGCGGGACCAGTGGATGGGGGGAGGAGGCAGCACCCCCCCCCCCCCCCCCAGTCCGGCCGGTGGAACAGACGGGCCGCCCGCCTCATAGCCCCGTCCCGCCTGTCAACGCGGATCATTACCACCGGTATAATGGCATTACGGACCGGATAATGGCCAGCCCGGCGTGATCGACCTAATGGAGGCCACTCGAGAGCGGCCCCGGCGGCGCACAATGCCCACTCCGTTTTCAATGATGCAGCGGTAAAAACGCCGACCCATGTTTCGTTTACATGACAAAGAGGCGTGTTGCGACCCTGGTCGCGGGGCTGAGGGCGGTGACAGAGGCCGAGGGAGGAGAACAAGCTGCCTGGACAGACCCAAAGGCCGGCCGGACCGACAGATGGACGTGGATTAACGTCAAACAATCGGCGCAGGGTCGGATTTGGCAGTGTGGAGTGTCGCTGCAGGGGGGACGCCCGGTGGAGGGAGGCAGCACATCAGCCACTGATGAGCCCGCCCTCAGAAGCAGCTTTGTAAAATGAAAAAGACAAACACCAACCCATGACATAAGCCTGATACCGTGATTCAGCTCTTCTGCGGGCGGGTCAGCTAGCTCATACACCCCAGGCCTAAATCTAACACCCCGGTCCTGGCCTCACCCTCCGCGGCCGCTCAGTCTCCCGTCGCATCAGCGCATCAACCGAGCTCTCAATTACGGCTAACTAAGGCGATAGACGCCCGATCTCGGTCGGCACAAAGGAGTCTGATTACGCCGACAAAAACCCTCCGCCACCCCTCGGCCGTCATCTCGCGGCGTGAGAGAGAGCCGCGCCCCGGCACAGCTCGGATCCAGAGACGGCGCCGGCGCCGAGGGCGTGAGGTTCCGGCGGAACTCAGATGGGAACAGCAGACTCCAAGGCGCACCCGTCCGTCTGGCTGCTGACACTCCCCACTCCCCTCTGAAACAAAACTGACAGCGGTGGGTGGAACAGCCCACACTGAATATCCGTCAGAAGGCCTACGCAGCGCATTTTCGCTCTATGCAGAAGACGGCACCGCAGACAAGGCTGTGTCTCTCGAGCCCGACCGAAGAGGATGACCATGTCTTACAGGTCACCACCCGTGCCCTGGAGTCCTCTCAGACCCGACGGCGCGGCGGAGAGGACCATCTCCTGCTGCAGTCTCTGGCCCACCCAGTCTGCCTCCAGGTACTCGCACCTGAGCCGCCCACCACTAACTGGCTCTACTCTCCCCGGTTCCGCGGTCCCGCTCGGTCCCCGTCCGGCCCGACAGGCGCCCGGCGAATTGGCCGTCGTTGGCCGGTTTATCTGCGCTGTTTTTGCCGGCCTCTCTCTCGGCCGATGGTCGGCTCCCACAGATGTTTACACATCGATTCCAGCCCGCCTCGGGGGCCCGGCCGGCCTCAGAAGCTACCCACGGCCCTCGTCCGATCACCGCGCGGAAAGCTGGCCGGCGCGGCGCGCTGCCGTCTGACGGGGTCCCGGCGGTGTGCTCCCCGCCCCTAACGACATACCCGGATCAGGAAGGTGTTGTTCTTCGTGTCACCGGTGACGCTTCGGATGGTGTAGAGCTTCTGCTCGAAGCTCGGGATGTTTTCATTCCTTCGCCGCCGCCTCCGAGCATCGCCACCTGCGGAGACAAACAGATCAGAGGTCAGCGGTCGGTGATCGGTCAGCGATCAGCGGTCAGCGATCAGCGGTCAGCGATCAGCGGTCAGCGGTGGTCAGTGGGTCAGGGATGGACCGACAGTCGGCGGTCGGTGGTTAACGTTCGGTGATGGGAGGTCGACACTTGCGGTCGCCGGTCACCCAAACAACAGACTACTCGGAGACCTGCGGTCGGAACAGGAAGGCTGTGAAAGCCAACATGTTCGATGCCTGAGAAGTAAGAGAGTTCCATTGAAAATAGCTCACTTTTTGTCTGGAAATTCAGGCTACCTGGCAGCCAGGTACATTGTAAAGACAGTCAGCATAGGCCCATTTCCATCACGTTAACATTAAAGGGACAGTATCACCATTTTGATGAAATTTGACATTGCATAGGCCCCACCTTTCTGGTCCGGGAACTGAAGACCGATCCTCGAAGCTCCACACCGTTATCCCGCTATCGCCGCTCAAAGTACGAAAAGTGTACCACACTTTGAATCGTGCTTCACTATCTTCACTGTTTAAATGTTTGCGCCGCTTTGAATTGACCGCCAGTAATAAAACTTTTACCCTGGTCATTTCATCAAATTTTATAAAGCCAAAACGTTTTTCGCACTTATTCATCACCGTTAAATTCATTAAATAGTCGTAGGCAATTTCCGCTGTTTCCTTCGGATTCTAGCGGCTCAACAAAGGAATTCCTCCAGCTTGAATCACAATCTCCCTCCAATGTATGACGTTTATCACGTGATTGTCACGTGATATTTTCTCCCATTGTCAATTGTCACGTCCAATTTTCACTCCCTCCAATTGTCACGTGATATTTTTATAGGCAATACCTAAGGCTACCTCCCCCTAAGGACAACTCAATCAGAAGAACGACCGCGTAAGCGTAGCGTCAATAATGTATTATCTGCGCCAGTTCTGTAGTAATTTTGCATGCTTCCAAACTGGCGGCCATGCTTGTATAGTGGTGGTTCGCTCATGAAAATGAATCATGAAAATGAAATGTGGTTGCAATATTTTTCACCGAGTTCGGTCCTCAAACTATGTTTTTCTGATTCAGAAAAATAAGAAATGCTAGTAAATAAAAAATCAGCTCAATACATTGATTTTTTTTTCGATGATACTGTCCCTTTAACCGGTTGCATTTCGTTGCTTTTAATACAAGTCGAGATGATTTGTCGTCTCGTAGCGAATATGAAATTTGTTCAAAATATTATGGCAACTCCCTTCAGATACTCCCCGAAGGATGGAAGCCAGCTCTACGTGGTACCTAATAGACTGATAAGATATTCCCTATATCGGCAATTCCAGCAGTGAACAGACTTGCCAGAAGCCTGTTAATGGTCGTTGGGTAAATAATGTGCATTAAAACTGTCGCTAAATGTGCAGTTTGTGTTCATTGAAAGCAGCAAACGAATAAAAAAGCGTCTCGTCTCAGCCTCCCCGTCGCTCCAACGCTACCTTCTATATCTGGCCGGATCATCACCAGCTTACCCGCCCCATCGCGGCAGCGCAGATTGTCAATAACTGGCCAAGTCGCTTATGAATGTCGATTCACAGAAGATACCTTCCGAATTCACAAACAGGGCCGCTCCCTCAGGCTGGATCATGGAGTGTTAGTCACAGTCTTTACATCCCGTGACGCTGGTTCGTGACGCACAGGCGTGACGCCCGTGACGGGTCAGGCGTGACGCTGGCGGCATCCCGCGGAGCCGAGACCGCAGCTCGACCGGCCCGGTCCCACGCGCCCGTTCCGCTCACCAAACCGTGCGCGCTCCATCGTTCTGAGACTAACGTCCCAGACGACGACGAACACGACGGACGATGACGAGGACGAGGACGAGGACGAGGACGTGGCAGACGGAGACGTACAGAGGAGGGAGGCAGCACCTGGCCGGAGACGACCGCCGGGCTAGAGCGCATACGTGGTCTAGGAGAAGCAGCGCAACAGCCGTGAAACGACGAGGCGATCCTACTCCCTCTGCACACACAGGTCGCTGCGATGGTGACAGCAAAAGCGCGAGCTCGCTCGAATATGTCTAACAAACCAGAATTAGAGATCATCAGCTCGGGATCGGCCCATGCGGTCAAGTTGGACACAGATGGGTGTTCCTGTGAATGACACATGCTCATACGTCAATTATCTGAAAGAGTTGAAGACAAATTGTGAAACAGCAAACTTCAAGCAAAGTTTAAAATCAATACCGGCTTTAGAAGCGACTATCCCAAAGTGGTCGACGTTTCCAGTTCAGCGCTGGCCGGGCCGCCGGCGGCGGACGGTCCCCTGGGAAAGGCGGCCGTTCCGGGTGCCCGCCTTTCAGCGCCTGCCTCAGCCCGTCAAGGTGCGCAGGTACGCCACATCAGCGGGCACCAGCGGGCCGCAGCGTGAGAGCAGCGCGCACGGTGGGCGTCTCCGACAGCGGGAACGACGCGCACTGACGGATCGACCACAGTCACGCGTCCGTCTCTCTCCTGGCAGCGGGGGCGTTCCACGACAAATCGACAAATAAAAAATTAAATTTGCACCCTCATATTTTATTTTTCGTTGAAAACTGGTGTAAGGGGTTGTGATGGGCGGGGAAGCCAGCTGTGGCAAGGATTTTTTTCTTCGAACAACGGTTTCCGAGATATAGCCTCGGGCAATTCCAGCAGGTCGCGCTGCAGCCCTATGTTTGGCGGCCTATAACTCAGAAACTATTGGTTTTCTACGATAAAAACTTTACATGGTTCAACTCACAATCAGCCAACAAACATTTTGGCTATCTCGGATTTTCAATTTTTGAAAATTTTGATCACGTGACCTTTTGACCTATTTTTCGAAGAGTGACCTTGATATTTTCCCCACTGAAAGTTGCAATTTTGTCTGATGACGATTAAAGCCTTATCAATTGTCATTCATATGCGAAAATAAAAAAAGTGGATATCGCCCTGCGTTGACCTCAGGTCAGGTCATTTTTATGACCTGTCCATTATTACGAGCGGGAGCGACAGTGAGATCTCGAGAATAAAGCAAGATAGCGACAAGCGGTAAACGGTGCAGGGTACAAATGGATAAGGTCTATAATTTTTACTGAGGTCATTTTCAGGTCAGGTCAAAGATGACGTCACAGGAGCAAAAAGGAAGTCAAAATTGCGGCACTAAATATATATGAAGTTTTTCTCGAATAACTTTCAAGGTATCCCAGCTAGGAACAAACCAATAGCACCATCGTGATCCTCTCGTCGATCCGCATCGAAATATATGTATGTTGACCTCGAAAGGTCGAAAGGTCAAAAGTTGACCTTAGGTCACGTGACGAGCGGGAGCGACAGCGAGATCTCGAGAATAAAGCAAGATAGCGACAAGCGGTAAACGGTGCAGGGTACAAATGGATAAGGTCTATAATTTTTACTAAGGTCATTTTCAGGTCAGGTCAAAGATGACGTCACAGGAGCAAAAAGGAAGTCAAAATTGCGGCACTACATACATATGAAGTTTTTCTCGAATAACTTTCAAGGTATCCCAGCTAGGAACAAACTAATATCACCATCGTGATCCTCTCGTCGATCCGCATCGAAACATATGTACGTTGACCTCGAAAGGTCGAAAGGTCAAAAGTTGACCTTAGGTCACGTGACCCAAGGTCAACTTTTGACCTTTCTACCTTTCGAGGTCAACATACATATGTTTCGATGCGGATCGACGAGAGGATCACGATGGTGATATTAGTTTGTTCCTAGCTGGGATACCTTGAAAGTTATTCGAGAAAAACTTCATATATATGTAGTGCCGCAATTTTGACTTCCTTTTTGCTCCTGTGACGTCATCTTCGACCTGACCTGAAAATGACCTCAGTAAAAATTATAGACCTTATCCATTTGTACCCTGCACCGTTTACCGCTTGTCGCTATCTTGCTTTATTCTCGAGATCTCACTGTCGCTTTCGCTCGTAATAATGGACAGGTCATAAAAATGACCTGACCTGAGGTCAACGCAGGGCGATATCCACTTTTTTTATTTTCTCATATGAATGACAATTGATAAGGCTTTAATCGTCATCAGACAAAATTGCAACTTTCAGTGGGGAAAATATCAAGGTCACTCTTCGAAAAATAGGTCAAAAGGTCACGTGATCAAAATTTTCAAAAATTGGAAATCCGAGATAGCCAAAATGTTTGTTGGTTGATTGTAATTTGAACCGTATAAAGTTTTTATAGTAGAAAACCAATAGTTTTTGAGTTATAGGCCGCCAAACATAGGGCTGCAGCGCGACATCCAGGAATTGCCCGAGGCTATATCTCGGAAACCGTTGTTCGAAGCAAAAAATCCTTGCCACGGCTGGCTTCCCCGCCCATCACAACCCATTAGACCAATTTTAAGCAAAAAATAAAATATGAGGGTGCAGGGCACTTGTCGATTTGTCGTGGAACGCCCCAGCGGCGACCGGCCGGCACGACACGGGCCGTGCGGCCGTGCTGGAGCACCGGCACCGACCGCGCTCCCGTGACGGGCCGGAACAAATGCAGATGGATGGCGCGCCCGCCGCCGCCGTGTGTTTGTTCACGTAGCCAACTTGTCTGCTCCTCTGACAGAGCAGCCTTGCTGCGCGCTCGCTGTCGCGGTGGTTGGTGAATGGCCGTGTTCAAGCGGTGTGTGGACAACTGGTTGAGATCTATATCAAGCCCGCGCAACGCGCACTCGGTGTCCTTTGTCCACTGAACAACTCACTGAACTGAACATAGTGACAGGCGGTGGCGGCCGGACTGAACTCGATAGGCTATGTATACTTTACATTCATTCAGTCCGCTGAGTGAACGTACATGACGGCAGCAGGACAGCGTGGCAACTGAGCGTGTCTCTGTTCCGTCCAGGACGGTCATTACAGCGACAGCCTGGGAGGGGCGCCACACTGGAGCGGCCTCCTAGACACGATGGCCCTGATTCAGGCACGCCTGCCCCCACTTCCTCTTCGCTGCGCATCAATAGGTGTAATGTGA